GATGATGATGATGATGATGATGATGATGATGATGAAGAAGTAACTAGGCCCTATGCCATGTAGGGCTTTATAGGTCATAACTGGCACCTTGAATCACACCCAGAAGCAAACTGGCAACAAGTACAGTTTGTGAAGATGAGATGTTACATGGGCATCTGGAGACATGCCCAACACTACCCGCGCTGCTACATTCTGGCCCAGCTGAAGTCTCTGTGTAGTCTTAAAGGGCAGCCCATGTAGAGCGCATTGCAGTATCAAGCCCTGAGGTGACCAGGGCTTGAGTGACTGTCTGAAGGACCCCGTGATCTAGGACTGGGTTCTTTATTAGCATATTGCTCTGTTCATTGAGCAGCTGATATATTAATTCTTCCTTCATTGCTTATTTTAAACATATCTGAAGAAGCCCTTTTTATTGTATTTTGCATTTTTTGCCAACCTCACTTATTCTGAACTTCAGTTTTCCAGACACTACTGCTGTAGTTCCAGACTACTTGCATGTATACATCCTTATCTGATTCTTTTCACATTTCCTATGTGTCCTTTTCTTAGGTTTTCAGATCTTCACTGAACTTTTAAGATAGTCACATTGTTTTTTCCTACTGATCTCTGATTTTTTTCTCATCAGAATCATGAACACCTTTTCCCATTAGCTTTTACTGGCATGGAATCCTGTTTATCGCTGCTCTCTGAGTTTATTAAATTCACTTTTTTAAAAGTTTAACTACACTTAGCTTTAGTTTCTCCTAAAATCAAGAATTCCAACACTATACAGTTACTTTCCCTTAATGTTCTGGTTACTTTCACTTCCTTGATTAAATCTTCTCTACTGATCAGTCAGATTAAAAATCCTCCTGTGTGTTTCTCATCTATTGAAGCAGAAATTTGTCAGCAAGATAAGTCAGGGATTTCCTGGAACTGCCAGCCTGACAATTTGTCTCATAACTGAGGTCAATGTAATTAAAGTCCTCTATCACTATTACTGAGAAAGCCAGTTTGGTGTAGTGGTTAAGGACCTGAAAGACTGTGAGTTCTAATCCTACTTTAGGTACAAAGCCAGCTAGGTGACCTTGGGCCAGTCACTCTCCCTCAGCCCTAGGAAGGAGGCAAAGGCAAACCACTTCCGAAATCTTACCAAGAAAACTGTAGAGACTTGTCCAAGCAGTCAATAGGAATCAACACTGACTTGAAGGCACACACACACACACACACACAATCACTACATACCTCTTTGAAAAACCGTAATTTGCTTCTTAAAACCATTATTCACATCGTCTCCATGACTATACCAGTGACAACAGTCAACATTTGCTCTTATTCATTCTTCCATTTAACTGAACTCCAAGATGTGTTACAATATTTTCAAATTACTTCACTTCAATTACTGATATCTTTATCTCCTTTCAATGGTTTCTATTCTTTTTGAACAAACTGTATCCTTCAATCATTATATTCCAAAATAATGGGATAGAGCAATATGGCAATTGGTTAAATCCAACTTACTTGTCTTCCCTGCCTTTGGCCATTAATTGCTGTTCATATAACACAGAAGGTTAACTATCCAAACAACTAATAGCCCACTGGCTAGAAGAAAGAATGCAGAAAACCAGCAGGGAAGGCAGAAAGGAAGGAAAGGAGAAGAAATCACAGGCTGGGTGAGTTAATTTCCCTGAGTAGGATGGGCAAAAGGAAGAAATGCCATGGAGCCAGCCCTGGACTGCAACTACCTTCTAAATCAGCTAAACAGCCAAAAACTGAGAAATTCCTTCTGTCGCTGAAGCTGTAAATAAATCAATTCCTACATTTACTTCTACTTCTATCCCAAACTCTAACAAATTTGAGGTACATGAATGCGATTTGCAAACAGAAATAGAAAAACAACAGATGTCAGACCTCTTAGCCTCCCAAAAAGACAACTGAATCGAATGGTCAAATTCCCTCCTAGCCTCTCCATCCACCCCTCTAACTCATCTCGTATATCCATAGGTGACAAGGCAACTTGGAAGCAGGAACTGGGGAGATGTTTTCTCAGGGCAGCTCAACTGAATGTATGTATAAGCAGTGTCTTCTCACAGCCCAGACAGTCCGAATATGGCGTCTATCCTACTAAACATCCATTATTCCTATTAAATCATATTTGTATTTCTATACTCAAGATTCAAATCATCTTCTTTACTTACCGTATTCTGAATATGAGATAAAAATGTAGGCTGTGGACTTTATTAGCCATCATTTTTCTGATTTTCATTATTAGCTTAGAAGGCCTCTTACTGCAATACCCTTACTTCCTTTTATAGCACATCAGTCTTTACTTGAGGTGTTCAGGTTTTTCCTTCCAACTCCCACAAAATTCACAGAATTCAACAGTTTTCTGAACATTATATAAATCTTTAATACTTCAGCCTTATAGTATTATATAACACACATGAAAATAGTTCCTGGAGGCCCTTAACTAATCAAGAATAATTCCAAGCTTTTCCCATGCAAAGTAACTATATTCCTGAATAAATAATAAATTACTTCTTTCCATCATTAAATATGAAAGTTTATCTGACTTCTACATTAAGGATGTAAAATATAAAATTACTATAGCTATTCTGAGCAGTACAAAGGGACAGAAGATAATATATATAAACATAAATATATAAATATAAATGGAAAGTAAAGTTTCAGGTCCGCTAGTTGTTTAACGATAATTTTGTCACTATTGTTCAGTCACTTCTGATTCTTTGTGATCAGATTGGCAACAGTTTGCAAGGATTTTCTGTCCATAACTGAGTTCTTGTAATCTCAAGCTCATATAAGTAATACTACTTAGCTATTTTGTCTTCTTACACCCTCTTTTTCTATTGCCTTTGATTTTTCAAGCATCAGTGTATTCTCCAAACTCTCCAAATCTTCCTCATTACATGTCAAAATATTTAAACTTTAGCTTTATTAGCACATCCAGTGAACTGTCTGGTTTTGCCTCATTAATTATTGGTTCTTCTTGCTCTCCAAGGTACTGTCAACATTTTTCTCCAGCACCACAGTCCAAATGACATATCATCTGCAAGAGCAGGATTGCTATTTATCAGCAAGAATATTGGAAGTTCTGTGCTATTCATTCAATATAGAGAGATTAATGTAAGCATTAAAGAGTGATGCAGCAGGCCTTCTCAGATGTTAGGCCCCATGCTATGGAACATGCTTTCCCCAGAGGCATACTGGGTTCTGTTCTTTCTTGCTTTCCACAAGATTCTAAAAATTGACTTTTCCAGCATATTTTTGGCCTGAGTTCATTCTGGACACCACCAGAGGCATGTCTGTAATCTTACTTTGGTTTTGAATCTTTATTTTTATACTATTTCACTGTCTTTATTTCTGCTTTTTGTGAACTGCCCAGAATCCTTTGGGATTGGAGTGGTCTGCAATAAATAAATGCACTACAGTACTGTTTCACATCTCCAAATGTAAGAGCAGGAACCATAAAATGCCCACACTATGCTTGTAATTTGTAGAACTTTTCCCACACTACTGGTGGGAAACCAGCACAGAAAACAATCTCCTTGCATAAATAGTTATATATTGCCAAAAAAAATTGAAGGATTGTATCCCATGGCTGCCTGAATTAATTATTCCCAAGTTTCCATGAGTGCATTCTTCTTTTCAGTTTTTTACCAAGCCTCATATTGATTGTTGGGCAACATAGCATTTATGGGATAATCCTGACATACACTTTCTTATAAAATCCAGCTTATTTTTTTAACTTGACACAGTCCTTGCCAAACGAATGTTGTGAAGTTAAAGCATAGGTTCTGCCTCCCCTAATTTTCAATCTTACCAAGAATCTTGCAGCTTGTGAGTAAGTATGTTGCAGGAGTTTGATGATGTGGCTGTTAATAAAGAAGCTCACAAATTCTGAATGTAATCATTTCTTTGGATCTTTTTCCACCTGAGGGCACCACCTGACTTGCAAGTAACACACTTCTATATGTACATCAGGAAGGACTTGTCCATTCTTTCCCCTGGCTCTAAGACCATCAAGGACTAAAGAAGAAAATGATTTACTGATTGATAAGATTTCTTATCCTACCTTTTGTTCATAATTCAAGGCCTTATAACTCCCTCTTCCCATTTTTCTTCACAACAATAACCCTGTAAGGTAGGTTGGGATGAGTCACCTAATAAGCATCTATGGCTGAGGGTGAACTTGTACCTGAGTCTCCCTGCTCCCTGTCCAACTCAACTGATACAGCTGTTTGGACTTACATCTACCTTAAAACTTACATCTACCTATTAGATAAAGGAGGCCAGGAGCGCGCACGCACACACACAAAAATGGTAGACATATTATGATACCCACTCCGAATGATTCAATTATTCCACATTAATACTCTGCCTACAATTGGAAAGGGACTTCATACAAGACCATTTCTCTCCATTTCCAAAGACATCACAAAAGCCCAGCGATAGAACATACACGTAAATAAGAATATACAGGAGGATAAATATTCACAAAGGCAAACATACTTCCTTATGAAGATGCCTGAGAATAAAGTAACAGTGGGTTTATTTTAATTACTTTACTTTGTGCACCACTCAGAGGAGTTGGGTACAGGGTAGTCTACAACTAATAAATAAGTGGGCATTATCTCGGGGTCTCTCTGCCCCCCGACCCCAAAACTGCCAGTGACTGCAGCTTACGGGAGCATCTCTCCCGGAGTTCCACGGCCTCATTTCCCAGAATTCCCGGAAACGTCCGAGCAAGATAAAGAAGCCCTATTATTACACCGGGCGACTGATCTGCCATAAGGGCCAGTCCTTCAAAACGAAAGGTCTATTTTCATGGCGACGCTTGCAGCCGAGAGCTGAGGGGTCTAGACGGGAGGGCTCGGTCCCGTCCTAAAGAGACAACAGAGAAGGCGAGCCCCAAATCTGGGGTTTAAAGCTCAGAGACGCACGACTCCCCAAGGAGGCAAGCGGCCCCAGACGCCGAGCGACAAGCCGAGCCGGTGGTTCACCTGCTGCAGCAGCGCCTCGCGCTGGCGACGCCTCTCTTCCTTACGCGCCGTTAAGACCCGCTCGCTTTCAAACCCGGACGCCATGATTGTTGGGGGGGGGGAAGGAGTTGCTGTCGTAAAGCAGAGTAAACTTTCGCTAGTACGCCTGCGTAGCGCGGAGTCGTAAAGAATGGAATTTATTATTGACTGCCCCCGCCTTCCTTTTCCGCGCGTGCGTGGCCGCGGTTTCAGCTTCTTGGCCGCTGTGGAGAATGCTGAAAATGTTGCTATTCTAAAGTCTCTCGCCCGGTTCATCTTTATTCGTGGTAGCCTGATGTAGGCGGCCATAATGTGTTGTAGGGAGTAGTATGGAAGTGGTTTTCATTATCTCTAGGTAATATGTGATTTGGTGGGCAGCCTTTTTAAAGCTTCTGGTTCACATAGACGTTGCAGCATGAACTAGCCTTTTTTTTTTTTCCTTGTCCGGAAAAGTATTTGAGCTGAGTAGTTCTGACTGAGTAAACCAGTGTTTCTTAACCTCAGCCCGGGCGCTCTCCATTTGTGGTTTTGCACACCACCACACAACCCCCCACACACTCCTCAAGAAAGAAAATGCGAGGGGTGTGAA